CTCCAGAGACCATTTTTTCAGGCAAACACCTTCCCCAGCCTGGGTTTGCTTCTCTCACTGGCAGGATTGTGCTCAGCAAAGTGACACCCATGGTCACCTTCATCCAACACTGATATTCTTCTCAAGCTCTGGTTTTATTCTGTTTAAAATCTACCTGGAAGATTTTAATCAGGATAAAGGCAGGTTGGAGCACCCCGGGATAGTGGAAGGTGTCCCTGCCCATGGCAGGGGTGGACTGGGATGGGCTTTAAGGTCCTTCCAACCCAAACTTTCCGTGATTCCATGATGACATCCTGGACCCCAGAGGGTAAAGCTGGGTTACACAAGGTGAAAAATGATACTGATATTCTTCTTCAACACTGATATTCTTCTCAAGCTCTGGTTTTATTCTGTTTAAAATCTACCTGGAAGACTTTCAGGCAATAAATCAGGATAAAGGCAGATTGGAGTACCCTGATTTAGTGGAAGGTGTCCTTGCCCATGGCAGGGGTGGACTGGGATGGGCTTTAAGGTCCTTCCAACCCAAACCTTCTGTGATTCCATGATGACATCCTGGACCCCAGAGGGTAAAGCTGGGTTACACCAGGTGAAAAATGCCCTGACCCGTTCCTTCTCCCCACTCCTCCCTCCATTCCCAGTGAGGAGCTGGCAGCCTCCTCCACCCCCAGAGTTCCTGCTCCCATCAGAGAAGGCCCTTCCCTGACCCCAGCCCACCAAATTCCATATGTTTGGGGTGCTGTGAGCTCAGCCCTCCTTGCTCAGCCCTGCAACACTCCCAGCAGGAGATGGATGAGGCCCTGCCACAGGCAGCTGAGTCCTTGCATCACTCCCACTCCTCCCTGGGAAGGATCACTTGTGCATCTGAGCATTTTGCTTGGCCCCCACGACCTCATTATCACATCCAACTGATTAATCCTGCTCTACCAAGAGCAGGCTGCCAACACGCACAGATCCAGGGGAAAAAAAAAAAAAAAGAAAAGTGTTTTTTTTGTTAAAACTCGTGGCTGAGAGAGCAATGGAGTGTGAGGGAACTCGTTGTTCTTCAAGTGAGATAAATACAGACAAAGAATGAAAGGAATTATGTAGGAACTAGGTGATAATTTATTTATAGATCTCTGCAGAAACACTGAAGTTAGCAAATATACCATCTGTTAAATAGTCATCTTATTCCTAAGTGCATATTAGCAATCTAAATGTGTGCCAAACACCTGATCTTAGCCTTCTTAGTTGATACTCTTTTTGACAAGCAACATTCTGCTTTATTAGGTTATGTCATGTTACGTTATAGAGCTGTGCTAGGGAACAGGAGCTGGAAGAACACAGTGCTTGTGCTCTCCTGGTGTAAATGAACACCCAGGGCAAGGAGAAGGGGTTTTGACAGCAGCCAGAATTTCAGAATAACAAGAACAAAGTAGAATATCTGCATTTGTATCCTCAGGTTTTTTTTTTTTTCTTTTTGCTATATGTATACACTTATCACATTTCAAATTGCAATAAGTCATCGAAAATGCAGCCCCATAGGTTGGGAAATAGATGGAGAAATCTCTGTGGCAAAGACAAACATTATTTCTGAGGGTCCACCTCTTCTCTCTCTCATCCACCTGGACTGCAGAGCAAAAGTGGATTATTTTATAGCTCATTATTGAACCCATTTGAATGAGCTGTCACAATATTCCATGGGAGATGATTCCTGCCTGCAGGAAGAGTCCAATAAAGATGAAAACAGAAGGAACACTGACTCTCCTAATGAATTCTCTTCATCTATTTTGCCTTGGTTTGCCCTTTCAGGGGTTTGGTTTCAGAGGTTTTCAGAACCCCATTCTTTTGTTCTTCAAGGATTCTTTATTACAGAAAAAGGCACTGAATAAATTCACTTTGTACAGTTATCTATCAAAATCAATCAAAGCAAAAGATCATTTCTGGTTTGGCCTGTGAAATTTTGGGGAGGTGAGGGTTTCTAAAGGATGCAGAGTGATGAAGATCTCGGAGTTAAGCAGTGCAATGAATTGTTTAAAGAAAATGTCTTTTCCTAAAGGCCTTTAAAAATTGGGTTAAATAAGGACATTGCATATTTGTCCCTGTCATGGGTGAGATGAAGAGATTAAATGATGATTTATGTGCCTCCACAGCTGCTTTTTTATACCTATGATTAATAAGCATAAAGGGATGGAAATCTCCTCTCCCTCACTGGAAAATCCAAGTTGCTTTGCACAGCAAAGCTACAAACAGGCCATGAAAGAGCTCCAACTCCTGCCTGTGGATTTTGATCCTCAAGGTTGAAAAGTGGAGATTGAAAAGGCACAGCCAACTTCTTCCCCACATGGATTCAGCTGAAAGGGAGTGGGTATAGATGGGATATTGGGAAAAAATCGTTCCCTGGGAGGGTGGGGAAGCCCTGGCAAAGGTGCCCAGAGCAATTGTGGCTGCCCCTGGATCCCTGGCAGTGCCCAAGGCTGGAAGGGCCTTGGAGCAGCCTGGGGTGGTGGAAGGTGCCTCAGGGGTGGGGCTGGATGAGCTTCAAGGTCCCTCCCAACCCAGAGCATTCCATGATTCCATTGGACAATCAAAAATAGTCCTGCTCCCTGCAAAGCAGCAGATCCCTATGGGATCTCATCCTCCTGCTTCTTTTAATTATTCCAGTCAGGGCCACTCGTCACGGTTTTAATGGAGAGACACGGACAGGTGACACAGCACCTAAAATGAGAGTAAAACTGATAACATGACATATTGTGTCATTAAACTAAAAATTGCTACTAGCAGCTCATTACTTTCCAAAATCTATTCCCATTTCAGAGCGAGGTATTACACAGTTAATTCTCAATTGTCAGGAAAACCTTTCCCTCCTGCTGCACTGCGCTTCCTTTATTTTTTCTCCCTCCTTTCTCGGATGTCTCATAACAACTGAAATTTTGTTCTCAGGAAAAAAAAAAAAGCTGATTTCTCACAGTGAAAATGTTGGGAAGAATTCCTTAGAGTGCAAAGATTTTCCATACTGCCCCAGAGTTTTTTTGCGGGGTTAACTCTATTTTTAAGTAGAAATTGCAATTTGTTTTGTATTAGCAGCTGAAGGAAAGAGATAGGAAAGGGAACTGTGGCCATTTTTGTTATTAGTGCCTGAACCCTAAAAAAATCTGAATTTTTGCACCTTTCTAATATATTTTTTTAATTTAATATCATAAATATGGGAATTTGAGGATCTTTTCCCTCCTTGTCCCAGGGCACAAAGCCTCAGAGCAGGCACCCCAAGCAAATCTTGACAGGAATTCCAGGGACCACTTTTCCACACACATATTTGGTGCTGGCCTTTTTCTTCTCAGAAAACAATTTCCAGGAAAGAAAGAAAATGTGGTAAAATTTCTCAGATGGAATTTTCAAAATGAGTAAATAAATTCAAATGAGTAAATAAATTTCAAATTTTCAAAATGAGTAAATAAATTCCACAAATTCAGAGACTGAAGAAGCCAAGCTCTAATTAACCATATTACACCCATCCACTATTTTCTCTTTTATTTAGAATCAGAGGATGGAATACAACTAAATAAATGATTTTTTTTTTCTATTTTTCTTGGCCTTTCTTGTGTTTTATTCCCCTTTGGACTACCCATAATCCAAGGCAGAGCTGTAGCCAGCAGGCAATTAAAAGAACATCAGAGTTTAAAACCCTTTCCCTGCGTATTGACAGCCCCCATCTATTGTGCTATGACAGCACGAGGAGGTGCTACAGGTGCTTAATTCAATCCAGCCCCCTCTGAGCAGACAATGTCTTCATAGGAGACCAATATCCAGGAGATGAAGAGGAGGAAAAGAAAAATTAACTGTGGAAAGTTCAGCTAAGGGGGAGAAAATTGATATATTGACATAAATAGCTGAGGCTGTACAGGTAGTAATCGTTATTGCTCTGACCAACGAGGGCTGTTTCTCTCTATTGAACTCTGGCTCGGGTTGGTGTTCAGCTGATGAAAAATGGAACAATTGTTTGAAACAAGAATCTGCAGCAAGGTAAATAAAATGAGCTTAGGGCAGGCAGTTTACAGCTCTGTGGTATAAAGAGGTTTAAGGGGAAGCTGATATTTATTGTATTAAAGCATATTTTGAATGAGTTTCGAGCAATCGTTTCCCCAATGGCTCTAAGAAAATGGGAAGGCTTCTCATTAGGATGAGAACTGGAACAAAAAGTAAATAATCTTTTTTTTTTTTTTAAGCACATCTATTGTGTCATGTTTTGTAATTGAATTAACAGGAACCAAGCTGATAATTCTTCAACATCTCAGTGAAACATGAGGAAGCAGCAGATTGAAAAATAGACATTAAGAGCCATAAAAATCACCTGTGGGAGATGGGCATGGAGCATGGACAGGAGATTTCCCACTGGAAGTCCTCTCTTCCTCCCCTCTAAAACCAGTGCTAAAGCTCAAGGCAATTAAAACATACCCAAGCACTGCAGCCAGTTTGGGCCAGTCCAGAATCTTAAAGAAAACAACATATTTTTATCATCATTTAAACCTACACTCTGTGGGAGTCCTGCTGATCTTTAATTATCACTTGTATATATAGAACACAGCTGTTCTCTATTTCTATAGAAAAGGAAACACAACAAAATGCATTTTTTTTCAAACTCATGTAGATTAAGTCCTGCAAATCCAAAAAACGATGCTGGAAAAAGCAGTGGAATAATAGACTGGCTTTGCAAATAGAAATTGTAAACACAAATTCCCAAAGTTGCAGTAGAAATGCTGTAGGAATAAATATTTTGTGAATGCCAAAGGACTCAGTAATTGTTGGATTGGAGGATCTGGGAGGTCTTTTCCAACCTTAATGATCCTGTAATTCCGCTATATCAGCTTGGACAAGCTATCCTTGCATACAATTTCTCCATGAAATTAAATTCTGCTGTCCAATATGTGTCTGTTCCTGAGTTAATAAATTGGATAAATTGGGATGCAGTTGGGAATAACTCTGATGGACAATAACCAGGCCTTGTTTTCTCCTTCTCCCTCAAGACCTGGAAAACTTCGAGACGAGAGCGAGAAGCCCGGTGTCAGTGAGAGAGGGCCAAGGAGTGGTGCTGCTCTGTGGAACTCCCCCCCACCATGGAGGTACGATGGGCACGGCCCGAGCAGCCCCTGCTCTGCCTCAGGAGGAGCAGAGTTCCCTGGGGGAGTAGCACTGGAATTTACTCCTGCAGCAATTACTGGGGTTAACGACAAATTTGGATTTTGTTCCTTCAAAAGATGCTGGGTTCGTGCTTTTTCAGGGCCTTTTTTAATTATTTTATTATTATTTCTGTTATTATTATAGTATTATTTTTAATTTTTATTTTATGATTTTATTGATAGGTATTATTTCCTATGATTTTATTATTATTTCATTTTTATTATTGTATTATTTCATTATTATTATATTTTATTTTTATTCTATTAATTTTATTTATATTTATTCTTTTATATTCTTTTATTATTTTATTTTTATTATTACTTTTTATTATTTTAAATTTTTATTTTGTTATTTTATTGATATTGATTATTTCCTATTTTTATTATTATTTTATTTATATTATTTTAGGTTTATTATTTCATTATTATTTTTTATTTTTATTTTTATTATTTTCTTTTCATTTTATTTTTATTTTATTTTTATTTTATTTATCTTATTTAATTGTTATTATTATTTTATTTATATTATTTTAGGTTTATTATTTCATTATTATTTTTTTATTTTTATTATTATTATTTTCTTTTCATTTTATTTTTATTTTATTTTTATTTTATTTATCTTATTTAATTGTTTTTATTATTTTATTTATATTATTTTAGGTTTATTATTTCATTATTTTATTATTATTATTTTCTTTTAATTTTATTTTTACTTTATTTTTACTTTATTTTTACTTTATTTAATTGTTTTTATTATTTTATTATTACATCAGGGAGTAATGATGCCTTAAGGAGCTGGAACAGAGGCTAGATGGAGTGAAGAGGAATAAAGTGGATATTTATTGAAGGGCCTTCAAAGGCCACACCCTGGCAGTACCCAAGTCACAGCTGTGGCTCTGCCCAGGTGTCTCCAAGATGGAAGCAAAATAGGGCTTGGTCACAAGATCTGACATTTTTATAAGTTTTAGTCCATTTGCATACAGAAGCCAACTGTCCAATTAATAGCTTCAAATGATGAAGATTCACCCTCCTCTTTTCACATTGTTTATGTTTTGGGCCTGAAGTTTGAAGAGATTGTCCCCAGCTAGAACAGGATTGTTTTGTCTTCACCACCCTGTGAAAAGGTCCCAGTAACACTTAATATAAAGCTAAAAGCTGCACACCAAAACAGAACAGAAAAAACCCTAAAACCCAAGGTATAAATGTGACCTGTCATCCCTTGGGACACAGCAAGGACAGCATGAAGGATCTGCTGACATTCCTGGTTATCCCAGGGCCTTGGTCCTCATGGAATGGCAGAAAATCAGCCCTCAGCATTTCCTCCTACACCAAAACTACTCCAGGTCTGCCTGGAAAGGCTCCTTTCCCCTTAGTGCTTGCTGCTCAGTGCCCTCATTTGAATCCTGCATCAGACATGTTGGATTGGTCATGAAGGTTTGGGTTCTGCTCTTGAACCCCTGATTTTATCCCTTCCTGAGAATCAGAGAACAATCTAGACTGGAAGGGGCTTCTGGAGAGGTGAACTGCCTGTTTAAAGGAGGCCAGATCAGGTTTCATAGGAATTGTCAGTGCTTCAGATGGGGAATGAAAAGGAATTTTCTGATTAATTACTTGGGGGTGCTCACCATAAGCCCCTGAGGATCTTCCTTTTGGGTGGGGTAAATCCAGGTGGAAATTTTACCCCAGTAAAGCAAGTATTCATTAGCAGAGGGGAAATATCAGTGACATAGTTACCAAATTGTCGTGTTCTGCCCTTAAAGAACGAGCAGCTCTTGGATGACTCACATTCTGCTTTTGGCAGCAGTGACCACACATCCACAGGAGCTGCAGTTTCCCATGCCCTGCTCCCAGCAACCCTCAATCCTTCTTAAAGAAGCAGAGTTATAAGCCAAACCCCCAGGAGAAGGTGAATAGTGATGTGGAAAGAGGAGGCAGTATTTCAGAGAGGGAGAAAACCCCATCCATCACCAGCAACCCCTCCAGTCCTAGGGAGAGGAAGTGTCAGCTCACTGGGTGTTTACAGCCAGATGAAAGGAGGATATAATCAAGGAGATGAAGTGAAACAAGGTCCTTAAGGGCACAAAAGGCTTCCAAGAGTTCCTCAAATGCATCAGTGGGACAGGCAGAAAGACAACACATCCATCCTGCAGCCACTGAACTATCTGTTTCCCTCCTGCTGCAGGGTAAAATTATGATTTGACAAATAGGAAGGAGGGGAAGAAAACATTCAGAACAAATAAATAGTTACCAGGTGAGCTCCCCCCAGATTAATTGAGGTGACAAAATGGTATCCACCAGCAAAGCCTTCCCCAGAGTGTTCCTGCAGCTGGGAGCTGCTGACCAACCTGGGAAATCCATTCCCTGCAATAACAAGGCCCCTGAGAACAGAGCCTGAGTCCTTTTGTCATCCCTAAACACTCAGTTCAGGATCCAAAATGATACACCATGGGGATGGAGTACATGGTGTGAGCCATGACAAGGCAGAGACTATTTCAAGATGCTTGCTAAGTCATTTTTGTTGAAAAAGGATTGTATATTTAGGGTTTTTTAATTGCAACCCTCGCTTCTACCTCCCAATACCTACAGGAGGAAGGATTACAAACTGTGCTCCCAGCCCACATTACAGGAGCTGTGTGCAGCACTTTAAATGTGTCAGGAATTAGAGAGATGTCAAGGAATTTGGAAGATAAGCCCTACCAGCAGGGAAAGAGTTGCCTTTCCTGTGATGTAATGACTTGAAGGAAGACAGGAACCCTCTGTACAGCAGTTGTTTGAAGCAGCTGCTATTAATATAGGAAATTTGAAATAGGAAGCACTGGGTAAAACCTCCTGCCAACCTCTAAAAGTCAGGATAACAATAGAAGAAGAGGAACAGAAATAATAGAATGGAAAACAAGGAGGGTTCATTAATTCAATTCCTCCCATAAAACATCAAGAAGATGGAATGGGCTGCAGAAATGTTTCTACCACCCATGGTCTCTAGGGAAGTGTCTCACTTCTGTTTCTCACGTTGCCAAGTTTGTCTGGTCCTGCAGACTGGAGTTAAACCTCCTGCTCACAGGAAAACTCTGCAGAGCTCATCAGGACACTCAGCTGCTTATCAGACACCTAAAGTGTTGGTCCATGGTCGAAAATATTTAAAATATTTAAAGCTCAATTGGAATTTAACTTAATTTCCCAACAGAGGTGACAAGGAAAGATGTGCTGGTTCTTTTTTGTGTGCTGGTTTCTTAACTGAGAGCACTGCTAACCTATTTTTGTACAAGAGAAATGAGTGATTCCTTTAAATAGAGGACAGAAATCCATTAGTCAGCCATAAACCAAAAACAAACAAACAAACCCCACCAAGCAAACAAACAAATGTACAAAAAGGCTGCTCCAGCAGCTTTCACATCAGCTTTAAAGCATCTCAGAGAACAAAAAGAGAATTCTATATTGCTGTGAACTAATATTAGGACTTTCAGGACTGATCAAACACAAGCATGAAAGAAAGAAATACCCACCCAAGTTTATACCTTAGATCAATTAGGACATTAAAAATTACAGTTAACAAACAAAAAAAATCACAGCCTGTAATTAGTTTTTAAAGCAAGAGCAGGGCTGCCCCAGGTTACCTGACCCAGCCCAACCCCTTTATTCCCTCAGCCCACCCCTCCTCACTATTTTATGCCCTGGTGTCTCAGGTTATTTATGAGGCTCATTTCCACACCTTGCCAAGTTCAGCTCTGCCATCCCTCTGCTTGTTAGTGAGGGTCAGCAGGGCAGGGGGGACCAGCTGAGCTGGATTTCTTCCTCAACCTCATCCCAGCTCTGCTTTAGGTTCTTTAGGTCAGCCCTTTTCCCCTGTGTAATCAACATATAGTAATATTTCACTATATTGTAATATAGTAATATTTTACTGGTGGGAAAAAAAAAAAGTGGTTTCTAGAGATTTCTGAGGTAGGGAAAGGCATGGAGGGAGGAAGCTGGAAGAAGCTTTAATTTCTGCAGCTACACACGAGCTTGACCTGCCTGTGCTTCAGAAGCTGCTGCCTAAATGGTAATACTTGACACAAGACTGTGGGGTGGACTGTTGTTCATTTATTTCCTCAGAAGTGAAGCCTGATCTAAAGGCTGTTTCCTCCGAGCTGGCTCCCTGCAGAGCTTTAAGGAAGTTGCTAATCTTGTTAGGAGCAGCAGGATCACTCTGCATTTGCATTTATTGGTGTGGAAGAGCTGCCAGGGCTGGCAGGGGGACGGAGGCTCTGGGCTTTCCTGCGTGCTGACTTTGCTGTAGGGAGGATAAATGAACCCCAAAACGCTCCTAAGGATGCAGGAGCTCCCTGTGGACCTGCTTGGGGGGGATAAAATTTCCTAATTCTCAGCCTGCAGAAGGCTGGGGAAGGAGGAGAAACGTGGAACTGGGTGTGTGCAGAGGATGGGAGGAGATGAGATGAGAAAGGGCCTTTGATTTCTGCATTTTCTGTGAAACGCTGCACTTGATAAAGTGCAGAATCTGACAGGGAGGGTTTGAGGTGTCTCTCCCTTTCTAGAACTCAGTCATGGGCTGGGAGTCCCTTTCTCTCTGCTCCTTATGAATCTTTAATCCAGCTCCAGAGAGAGGGAGAGGCCCCTCCCTGGGCCCAGCCTGCCCCAGCAGCTCTGATTTGGGTTTGCTTGGGCTGAGGGAAGCATGGAATGTCCAAACCCCCCAGATCTCAAATGCTCAAATGGAATGGGTTTGCTTGGGCTGAGGGAAGCACTGGAATGTTCAAACCCCCCAGATCTCAAATGCTCAAATGGAATGGGTTTGCTTGGGCTGAGGGAAGCATGGAATGTCCAAACCCCCCAGATCTCAAATGCTCAAATGGAATGGGTTTGCTTGGGCTGAGGGAAGCACTGGAATGTCCAAACCCCCCAGATCTCAAATGCTCAAATGGAATGGGTTTGCTTGGGCTGAGGGAAGCATGGAATGCTCAAACCCCCCAGATCTGTACATCAGGAACGATTATCAGCTCTTTCCCAGCCAGGCTCTGCAGGAAAACTCTCAGGGCTGACAGAGGTGGGAGATGCTCTCCAGCCTGGCCAAGCTCGGGAATTGCCCACCTGGAAGGGAAGGTGGATTCACCGGATTTTGGGGTCTCTGGGGTGAGAAGGGGCACTGACACCACAAATTTAAAAAAAAGAAACCCAAATAAACACACCCTAATCTTGCAGCACTATAAAATAACTCCTGCTCTGCCATAAAAGTGAGAGCAAAGGGCTTTTCCTCCTTTTTTTTTTTTGGCCCATTCAGTGGATCTGCTCATCTGATTTATTCCAAGTGACCCAAAATGAAAGATTTTATAACACAGTTCTGGATTTTTTACTCTATTACCTGTTGCTGTAGTAACTTTCCAAGAAAAGATACTGAGTAAGGGAGGAGGTTGTTGGTATTATGCCTTAAAAGCATGAAAAAAAAAAGAGCTCAATCTCCAAAGTTTGGCTCCTTCCTCTTGAGATTTCATCCAACTCCCACTGAAGTCAATTAAAATTAGGGTTTCTACAGAGTTTAGTGGAGCTGAATTAGGCTCTAGGCAAGGATGGCCTGCAGATGGGTGATGATGAACCTGCAGCTAGGAGAGGGGGAGTGTTTGTATCCCTCATACTGGGGGGAAAAAGGATTTAAATATGACTAAGAGGGCCCTGTGCTTGTTCCCAGTTAATGGGAAAATTCATCAATAGCCCCTGAAGCAATGGTGGGGAGCAGACAGGGAGAAACTTGAGAAAATGAAGTCAGCTGGAGCCCCCTGAGAACAGAAATCAGGACAGAAAAGGTCTGGTTCTCTTTTATTGATTAATTAATTCACAGATTGACCTCCTGAAGAATGTCTGTGTAGCACAAAGTTGGCATTAATAGAGTTTTATTTTATTCTATCTTGCACAGAGAATTCAGCTGCATCGCCTGCTCCCATGGCTGGCTTTGCTTCCATGCCATAAAATATTTTAAAGATCCTTCCTGAGAATCCTTTTGGAGCCTGGGCAGGTACAGGGGTGCCCTTAGAGGGGGTCAGGGCTTTCTTCACTCTGTAATTGCCACCACCAGAATTTGGCAGAGAAATTCCAAACTGCTTTTCCCTATGAATGATTCTTAAAATTATTTCCAGATTCTCTTGGATAAGCCATCCTGGCATGGAAATCTGGGCATCCAAATGTCAGGTCCAAGCACTCAGAGTGGTTTTATTGTCCAGAGGTGCCTTAGTGCAGGTCTGAGCAAGGAGAAAGGCAAGAATTCCAGCTGGCAGGAAAAGCACATTGGGGTACCAGCCCTCAGTGCTTTGGGAAATCTGGGGAGAAGGCAGATCCAAGATATTTCTTCCACAGAAATGTGGACAACATGTAATTGAACACAGATTAAAGTATTTACCTGCAAATCTTCAGCGTTTTCTGTAGAGTCCCCATCTTGCAGCTTAGAGACCTTGAAAAAAAAAATGAGTTGAAATCAGAATTTTGCACACTTTGGTCTGCTTGCCCAGACAGTCTGCAGTCAGCAAAACCTGTTCCTGAGCTAGGGAAACAGGCTGTGTGTCTCTGCAAGACAGATCACGTCACGGCTGCATCCTTATTTCTGATCCTTCCTGCAGGAAAACCCCCCCATCCCCAGATTTCCTTCAATAAACAGATGCATTAAGGCACCTCCAAGCCTAAGGGCAGGTAAATATGCAAAAGGGTGGCTTTGATCTTGTGGGTGAGCACGTGGACCTGCACACACTGAGGATGAATTGCTGCATCTCCCAGGTTTACTGCGGAGCACGGCAAAGTTTCGCATTATCTGCAGGAAAAGGGAGCCCATTGCAGGATTTAGCCAAGTATAGAAAGTGTCATTGATTGCTCCCTGGAGATGCATCATTTCTAATGAGAGTCCTAAAATGCTGGAAGCTGATAACATAAAACTCCACAAAACTACTGGAGTTTGCAGACTTATTACCATAGTGCTCCCAAGCTGGAGCTGAGGGGGGGAAAGCAACGTAAATAATCTTTTTGGAATGGGGTTGTTGATGGGGGAAATGTGTAAAAATGAAGCTGTTGGCAGAACACTGTTAGCTTATGAATTATGCATTTAATTAAGAGGAGCTAAACTGGTGGATTTGGAAAGTTCTGATTTACTGTGGCTTGTAAAAGACAGGGTTTGAGTCCTGCTCCTGCTGTTGGGTGCAGAGCAGCTGCAGAGAGGGGCTGGCAGGACACCCTGGGTCACCCCACACTGGGGCACCAGCTCTGAACCTGCTCCTCAGTGCCCGAGGCTTGGCCCAGAAGTCTTTCCCAAAAAAACAGGGAATGGTAAACTCACAAGGATATCTGCTTTTCCAGGGTGGGCTGGTCAAATAAATTAGTTTTAAGTTTCCTGGTCTTATAGATGTACATTATAAAGATTTGCATTGTGGAGCACCATGTGGGAAACGGGGGCAGAAAAGGGGCAGGAAGTGAGAATAGGGCAAGAAGTATGGAAGATTAGGGGATGTTCATTATCAAATGTGCCATAGGATCAAATTTAAAGTTTTGCACTTTTGTGCAGCTCAGCTCATCCCTCCATGAAAATCCAGTGTTCAAGCTCCTTGCTACCAGTTTAATTTTTCCATATTGAGAGTGAAGAAAGGAGCTGTAGCACCAAGCAGCAATTTGCCCTCTGGATTTTCAGAGGGAAAGTGCCATAAACAGAAATTAATTACTAAAGCAGCTTTCCCACACCAGTGCAGCACCCACCACCATTCCTGCTTAGGAGCAGACTAGGCAGGACAATGAGAAGTAGTGGGGGACAGAAACTGCTGTGACCTCCTGAAGTGGCTTGAAATGAGCTGAAAACTCAAGCAATGCTTACCTGGCTGTTGTAAAATTCAGGGTTACTGATGAAGGAATGAATGAATGATGGGGAGGACTCCATCTTATCAGAAGGCTAATTTATTATGCTATATTTTTATTATTTATATACTATCTATTATGCTATTGTATTATTACACTATATATAATATAGTATAATAGATATTATACTATACATTATATAGTATAATATATAGTAGTATAATATATAGTAGTATAATATATAGTATGTGAAGATATATATTTATATACTATATATTATTTATTTATATTTTTATTATTAAATTATTATTTATTATATATGTATGTACTGTATACTATTATTTATTGTAGAAATAATGGTAATAATATTTGTAGTAGTACTATTTATTATACTATATTATATTGAAGAATGCTACACTAAACTATACTAAAGAATATAGAAAGGATATTTACTGAATGCTAAAAAGGTAATAATGAAAACTCGTGACTCTTTCCAGAGTTCTGACACAGCTTGGCCCTGATTGGCCAATGAGTCAAAACAACTCACAGCAGAATCCAATCAAGAAATCACCTGTGGGTAAACAATCTCCAAACACATTCCACACGAGCACAACACAGGAGAAGCAAATGAGATAAGAATTGTTTTCCTTTTCTCTGAGGCCTCTCTCGCTGCCTTTCAGCTTCCCAGGAGAAAAACCCTGGCTGAAAGGATCATGTTCAGGGAATGTGGATGCCACACCTGGCCTGTGCTAATTTGTGCCTCCCCAGTGGTTTTCCCTCATTCCCTCTGCCAGCCCCGCTGGGAGGGATGTGTGATGCATGTCTGGTGTTTTCCAGCCTTGTCCTACACGTGGATCTTCAACAATACCACCCTGCACCTTGGGGAAGACAGCCGGCGCTTTGTATCCCAGGCAACAGGAAACCTGTACCTGGCCAAGGTGGAGCCCTGGGACGCTGGGAATTACACGTGTGCCGTGAGCAGTGCCGAGGCTCAGCGCCAGGTGTGGGGAGCCCCCACTGCCCTCAGCCTGAGGGGAGATGGTGAGTGCACAGAGGGGCTGGGCTGCCTCAAATCCCCAGCTGATCCTGCTCCAGACAGGGGGAGTTCATCCCCACAGAGGGAAAACTGCCCCAGTGAAGGTTCTGCAGCAGGGCATGGTCCCACAGTGACCATGCCTTTTTGGGATTACCTAAAACAGAGGCCAGACAGAATTAAGGCAATAAAAAGCTGTTCTATTTATTGAAGCTGATCTATTTATTGAAGCTGTTCTATTTATTGAAGGGTTTCAGGTACATTTTGGGCAGACAAAGCCCCCCAGGAGCTACACCCAAAAATGGACCACGGGTCAGGGTTTGTACACTTTTATAAGTTTGGTCCATTTGCATTTTGGGGGTGAATCTGCCAGTTACAGCTTCAGGTAATGAAGTCATTGAGCCCAAGTTTGCTCCCCCAACTCCCTTTTGTTCCCTCTCTGGGCCCTGAGGCAGTGAGGTGTCCTTGATTGCCAGGCCTGCAGAGGAATTGTTGTGTCTGCCCCAAATGGGGAAGCAGCAGCTCACACTGAGTGTGGAGTTTGGAGTTACACACTGAAGAATTACAGAATTACAAATTCTGTTATTACAAATAGATGGAAAGTAGAAAAGCTGAAATCATAAGGCATCAGTGGTGTTTGAGCTGGCAAGGATGGAGATGAGGAGATGAACACGCAAAGAAAGTTCTCAATGTCACTGAGCAACAAGAGAATGTCACATGGCACGTTAATATTATTTCCCACCTCGTGCCCGTGTTGAGGTTTAAATCCAACAAATCTTTCTAAATTTGTCATCCTAAGTTTAGCTCAAATATCAAATCCAGAGAGCTGCTTTGAGTTGCCAAGGTGAGAAACTCCCCTGCACACGTACCAACGCCTTCCTGGCAACATTTGTAATTAAATGTTCACGGGGAGAAATACAGACCTGGAAATCTGTACACAAAGTTGGTTTTGGGAGTTTGCCCACCTAAGTTTCAATATATTCGTGCTGTTTGCAAAGCAGTGGCAACAATCAGTGACAAAAGTCTGTGCAGAGTTGGATTTGGAGGATAAACAAAACTCAGCAGTGCATTATGGAATAAGAAATAAATAAATAAATAAAGCATGGAATAATGCTGTCACTGTGAGGCTCTGCTGTTCAATAACATCAGCAGATCACACAAAGCAAAGCTGCACTTCCTCAGCTCCAAAGTTAACAATTTGGCACAAACTCTGATTGCAGATGCTTAAGATCTTTTCTGATTCTTTTTTTCTTTTCTGCACGCTATTCCTTTTCTCAGACTCCTTCTATCAGTCCCTTTCTCTTCTCCCATTCTCTCTGCTGGCCTCTGGATTGACTCCAATGCTGGCAGCCTCTGAGGCAGCAGTGGAAGTCGCATGTGCAATATTATGCAGATGCCTGTTAAATATAAAACAAGAATTGGTTCGTTTCCTGTGTGGGATCTGGGCAAAGACACTGCAGGAAAATACCTGATTTATGTTCATCCCTACAGCTGGAATGAGCTTCACTGTGAGACACATAAAAGATATTGAAGAAGTTCAGCTGAAAGTTTAGTTTCCTAAATCCATCCCAAACCTGCTGCAAAATTAAATGCCCTAAATTAATACTGGATTATCTGTGATTTATCAGATGTTCAGCCAGATTTTCAAATATGGTAATTCCATCTAATTACATTGGCCTTCCTCAAGTCTGCAACTCACATTTGGGTGTTTGAAAGACATTTTAGGAGTTTTGCAAGTAGTTTGTTCATGGGATTTTCTAATTTTCTTGCACATAGGATCACCACAGTGTCCTGAGCGTGACTAGTGGCAAAACTGTTGCTCGATAAGAGGTGTGAACCCAAAATTATCTCCGAAACCTTGATGCACAGCAGACTTGGAATGTAAAACTTGCCTAAAGTCACACTCTTCAGCTCTAGATGCAGGGAATGGAGAGATTTCACAGAGCTTTCAGCAGAGGGCTGAACCCCACCCGGGAGGTCAAACCCGCTCCATGGCGGGTGGAACATGAGGCTCTGAGGAGATTCATGCCACCCTCCCTCTCACCCTGAGGCTGTGCTGCATGAGAAGGTCTGGGGCTCATCTGGACTGAGCTGTTTTGATGTTCCACAGGTGTGATGGGGGAGTATGAGCCAAAGATTGAGGTGCGCTTTCCAGAAACAACCCACGCCGCCAAGGGCTCCTCCGTCACGCTGGAATGCTTCGCCCTGGGAAAGTAAGAGCTTTATTTTTATTCACTCTGGGGTTTGACACTGCTCCTGTCACGTTAGGATTCTTCTGGTCAGAATGGGATTTGGGAATCTTGTGGTTTTTTAACCTTGCTTTGATTGTGCCGTGTGTTCCCAAGGAAATGAGAGAGAGCACTGTGCTATAGCTGAGGCTCACGTGGGTGCAGGGGGAGGGAATGTGGGAAGAGGAGGGGAAACTGGAGCAAAGATTTTCTTTCCTGAGTGTAGTTTTGACTCTGAGATGAGACCTGACTCCAGGAGACAGCGTTCAGTGTACCCTGATAGAGATCACAATAGGAATGGTTTTTGTGCTTGTGTGACATCATGGAATCACAGACTGCTCTGGGCTGGAAGGGACCTTAAAGCTCCTCCAATTCACCAAATTTCCACCCCCTGCCCTCAGCAAGAGCTTCTTCCACTGTCCCAGGTGCTCCAAGCCCTGTCCAGCCTGGCCTTGGGCACTGCCAGGGATCCAGGGGCAGCCACAGCTGTGCCAGGGGCTGCCCACCCTCACAGCCAAGAATTCCTTCCCAAAATCCCATATAAACCTGCCCTTCTTCAATTTGAACCCATTCCCTGTGTCCCATCACTCCATCCCCTGTCAATTGTCTCTCTCCATCTTTCCTGGGGCTCCTTCAGGCCCTGCAAGGCCACCCTGAGCTCAGCCCAAAGCTTCTCCTGTGCAGGTGAACAATCCCAGCTGTGCCAGCCTTTCCTCCCAGCAGAGCTGCTCCATCCCTGGCATCATCCTGGAGCCCCCTCTGGGCTCTCCCATTGCTAAAAATCAAACGTGGGGAATCAGATTATATTTGAAGAGTATTGGGCATGGATCTCCTGACCCTCCTGTCTCCAAAGCAATGCTGAGGAGCCCTGGGAAGACCCAGCAGCAGCCCTTCCTTCCAAAAATCCATTTTCCTGCATTTTTCTGTGTTTTCTTGCACTGCTGTGCCTGTTCCCAGCTACACTGGTGGCTCAGGCAGCTGCTCTGCATTCAGGGAGCAGCTTGGGGACTGAATCACTGTAACCAGCCCACAAACCCCAGTCTTTCCACTGAGCATAGTTGGAAAAGCCCAAATAACCCTGAGATTGTTGACCTCTATTTAGTTTAAGTTCACTTTGACAATCCATTTTAAGGCTGTAAGCTTTTAAAGTGTTTAGAGCTTTCCCAGAGGTTAAAAGCCTGACTTGCAGACAGCACAAATTAATCAAATGTTCCTCTGGAAGCTAGGCTGGCAAGTAGAAAAATAAAGCAAATAAAAAGTTAATAAGATTGAAATGGCCTTGCCTTTCTGATGAGATTTCTATACAAACTAATACCAGAGATAATTTTTATTAAAGGTATATGCACTTTGTTTGGCCCAAAAGCAGTACCAGACTTTAGCACTCTTGGTAAAGCTGATTTTCTTTCCCAAATTCTGTCAAGCTACTTCTCTTTAAATACCTCCTTAATTGTGTGTTAGTCCGTGCAGGCTCTACATTTCAAGTTGTCATTTCTTATTTCCATCTGTTGCATGGAAAGCATTGAACAATGATGGAGAAAAAGCCAGGAAATGAGATGTACAAAGCACTGACATCTTAGTGAAGGGGTAAAGATGGGTCATGTTAATGTGATGAACAGATTTTACCATTTTAAGAACATCTTAAGGAGAAAAAAGGGGGCTGAGAGGACATATGGATAATGAGATCCCTCAGGGAGACCCTTCTATGCAGGGCTTAGGAATGCCTGAGAGGGTTAATGCAGCTTTAATGTAGATTTTCCTCTACATGTGCAGCTGAAAGCAGCACTGCCAGACCTCCCTGGAGTTATCCTGCCTAAGAACCAGGGATCCATGGCCAAAATCCACTTTCCACACACTCTGGTGTCACAGTGCTGATGTGCACCCCGTGTAGGAGGTGCTCCTTGGGAGCAGAGGCGCTCGGGTGCTGATACTGGAGAATTTCTCACAATTTCTCCTCTTAAATTTTATTTTTAGGAGTTCACTGTCTCACATAGAACTGCACAGGTTTCAGTCTGCACTTTTTTTCTCTCCCTAAACAGAGCCTTAAACCACCTTTTCACCAACATGTCCATCAGTACAAAAAGCTTTATTTCAGAGCTGGCACTTAGATGTGAATAAAGCAAGCAAAACAGATTGCAGGTGAAACACTCTTAACTTATTAGATAAGGCCAGATTTCCAGAGGCATGCAGGTGATTAGTGGCATTGTGAAAAGCTGGAAGTTTCCTGCCTCCAACTGCTTACAATTGCAGGCAGAACCATCTCAATGCAGCAGCACCTTCAGATTCCCAAATTCCACTAAAACCCCGGCCCCTGCTATTGTCTGTTTATGTTAAAATCAATTCAGCCCAGCATTTGTTGAGCTGCACCTCTGATCTGCCACGAGCACCGGTGGTTATTATCTCGCTCAGGTTTCAGAACTGCTTTCCCATTATCCATAATTTTCTATATTCACACTGTTAAGCCGCTGGCTCTGACAATGCTGTGGCTGCTGCTGCCTGGGCACTGTGAATAACAGAAATCTTTCATGCTGAAGGCAGATCATAGGCAACCCGCTGGGGTTTTGGGCTGCAAAAGTCTTAAATGAAAGTAGTTTTGTGGTATTTAGAGAAATAGCGTCTCGTTTTCTGTGCGGAACAGCAAATCACACCAATTGGGCCTGGCTCAAAAGGCACTTCCACAGTTCAGGTGCAGCTAGGAGAGGCCAGGCTCTTGGCTGAGTTTAAAACTTGCTTCAAGACATCTTAAAAATGCCTTTTTTTAACGTGGGGGAGCTCAAAGTCACCCAAATGTGCTCCTGAGGGGAACCCTGGGGTAGGTGCATTCCACATAGATCTGTTGCAAAGCTCTTTTTGCACTTCAGATTAAAATATCACTAAGGATATTTACAAATCATCTACCAGCCCCAGAAATTCTTCTTGTTTTGAGGAAAAGAAGGGGTTGAATAAGAATTTCTCCCTGCAAGGAGGGTTTGGAGGGGTGGATCCAAATGGACAGAGGATCTCAGGCCAGTCCTTGACTTTGAACCTTATTTTATAGAGCAGACACCACAAATAGAAGATTTGGAAAAGCAAATTAGTGCTCGCTCTGATGGGATTATAGAATAAAGTGCAGCTCTCTGACGAATCTAAACAGGCAAAAAACTGCACCTTGTACTTAATCCTTTGAAAGAGGGAAAACTGAAATATGAAATAGTGGCTCCACTATTTCAAATCCTGCAGCTTGTGGCAGTTTAATAGAAGAGATGAGACTTTGTGTTCTGCACCAATATTCATTACAATGACAGTGTTTAATATTATGCCAGGATTAAAAGTCCTGGTTTGGATCAAGCTCTATTAATCATGCCATATATCCAAATTATTGTTCCCTGTCTTTCAGGGGATTGAGCACCATGGAAAGAATTATGTTCAGTTGAGTTACACTGTGCTGCTTTCTGTAGATTTCTCTCAAAATAACTTTTTTTTCCTGTTGCACAAATAAGAATAGTCCCTGGAACGAAAATAAGCAAAGTAGTTTCCATGTCTGGTGCACATATTTATTAAACTCTGTCCGTGGTTTATATTTTTCTTCATTCCCTTCTCAAAGAAAAGGAAATAATCAGTTCACAATCCCTGCAGATGGGCTGTTGCCAGCTGAGGTTGTAAAAAGCATATGTGAATAACATAAAACAAGATTTCTTTCAACCCCAGAATATTCATTTTTCATGGGAAGTTCCCACCTATTCCTCTAAATGTATTCACAGAAGGGTTTTTTCTAGCAGCTCTTGGAATAAGTAGATAATCACATAGCTCCAAGGGGGTTCCAAATAACCATTTTTACTAAATTTACATAAAAATCCCAGGCTTCACCTCTGGTATATTCTCAAGTTGTTGATGTAGGAGTCTTTTAAAGGGTGAGTTATGGGAAATCCCAGATATGGGGATGACTTTGGGCACCACAAGTGACGTTTCCAGCCCCACTTTTCCATCCCTGACCAAAGCAAGGCCTGGATTTGTCCTTCCAGGGATGAGCAGATCCCCTCTCCCACAGCTCAGGTGGTGCCTCCAGGAGAGTGGCTTCAGAAAAGTGCTGTTTTCAGGTAATCCATCAGGAGGATCCCAAATTAAATGCTTTAATTATGGCGCTCCTCAGATCCTAATTCTCCCCGGTGTCAGCAGTGATGCGCCTCTCAAAGCTCAGCTCGGGCTCATTTGTCTAACGAACCACGGCCTTCATTATCCCAAATGCAGATTGAATTTCCCTTTGAAGGGCCCCCAGATGCACAGGACAAAAGATGAGGCACGGTCCCAATGCATCATCTCTGCTGGAAAAGGTGAAACCTCTCTCATGGTGTGGGTTCTAATCCTGCAGACAAATTAATTTCGCGTTCGCTGTGACAAGAACTTGTCACCAACCACAAAATATTTTCCATCTCCTTTTCTTTCCCAGTTAGTAACTTATGGTTTTGTGATTCTGCTGCCTGTATGGTGGAATATAAATTAAATTAGTGCTCCTGGATGCTCTGAAGGTTTCAAATAAACTGCAGATTTATGTACTAAGACACTCTCATATTTATGCACTGTTTTCTTATTTACTCAGGAGAAAGCCAGACTTTGTGTATGAAGTGTAATAAATTTGGGAAGTGCACTCATTGTTTCTTCATGTACTCCAAAACTTTTTTAGGCCCAAGCAGTTAATATTTTTAATCTGGTTATTGGAAGGGACTGAAGGACAGAAGGACAACGAGGGGCAGGGCCACCCCACAGCTGCAAGGGCAGGAACTGCTCTGTGCAGGAACATGAACATGCAAAACAATCCCAAAAAAATTCACAAGGCTGAATTAGGTTTTATACATAATTACCTACTTCTAAATGAATGTTTTATTCCTTAAAGCATCAATTTCTAAATAGATTCTTTGTCCCAAAACCCAATTTAATCAAACTGTTTTTTTTTAACCTTGAAAGGTTTCACATGGCCTGAGTAAGAGTTGCTGTTAAGAGATTTGGTTATAAAGGTGGAAACTAGCAGCAGAAAAAAATGAAACCAGCCAAAAAAACCCTTATTTTCTGAAAAATACAGTGATTGAACATGCTGGGAATTTTGGAGCAATGAGGTAGCAATAAAGAAATGCAGATATTCTCTAGGAAGGTCCATCCCATGCATTGGCTGAGTTATGGATCCTGCCAGATCCTTTACCTGTAGCTCAGGTGGAGGTGCTGTCCTGACCCAGGAATTCCTTCTCCTGATAAAATCCAGGAGAACAAAGTGCAGTTAACTATTTATTGTCTTTAAACACAGCAAAACTGATGAGCTCTGAGGTTTCTCTGTCCTCCTGCTCAGCTGCCATCAGGAGTGAGCGTCAAACACCCTCATGTTTGGCCAAAAATGAGCTGAGCTTGCCTTGAGACATCCCCAAGGATGTGATTAAAAGTCTGTGGTGTGGAGAAGGAGATCAGGGGAGCATCTTGTGCTCAAACCTTGGCCAAGCTGACAGAAGGAGCCTTTTCCCACCTAGCACTGCCTCTGGCCTTGGTGTCAGCACAGAATTCCCTTGCTCACGAGCAACCAGAGCTGAGACAATAGGAAATATGGAGATGAAGCTCTTTCAGGTGGTAGAATGCATCTAATTATTGGGGTTTTTTCTCCCATATGGCTGCTGCTTCCCTTTAATCTCTTTGTTATAAAAAAAAAAAAAAAATTAAATCCAGAAGAGACGCCTTTAAAGCAGGCGGTTAAACACTCCTGGCATTCTGCAGGCTGCTGCTGCTGCACACTTGCTGCTCCCCCAGTGTTGAATATGCAGGAGGATTTGAAGAGCCAGCCTGCTCTCCTTGCTGTGGATCCATCCCAGCCAGGCTGGGAAGCTCCCCTGGCTGTTTTCCTGCCCGGAGCACAGCAGACACGAGCCAGGCTGGGTCTGCACTAGAGCTGTGCTCCTTTTAAACAGCCAAAACTACCTTGCTTTATAACAACTGAATAAATGACTGAATAAATGACTGAATAAATGACTGAAACTAACTTGCTGTAGAGGAATCCTGCAGGAATGCTGTAGGAGGAAAGAAGGCTTGAGGGAAGCCTCGTTGCTCTCTAAAAACACCTGGAGGGAGCTTGAGCCAGGTGGGGATGGGCTCCTCTGGCATGACAACAGCCTCCAGCTGCACCAGGAGCCGTTTGGGTTGGATTTTTAGAAAAATTGGTCCATTGGAAAAGCAGAGAAACGCTGAAGTTCTGGAGTCACCAGCCCTGGAAGGTTTCAAACCATGAGTAGATGTGGCACCTCCTGATTAGAGAGCAGGTGGAAGGTTGGACTTGACCTTGGAGGGCTGGAGTGTTGTGAGGTCCCCAGGATGAGATGAGAATTTGAGTCCATGTTCTCAGAAGGCTGATTCATTATTATATTATATTATATTATATCATATTATAATATATTACATTATATTACATTACATTATATATTATATTATATTATATTACATTACATTATATATTATATTATATTATATTATATTATATTATATTATATTATATTATATTACATCATATTATATTATATTACATTACATTATATTATATTATATTATATTCTAAAACTATACAAAGCTATAGAGAAAGGATGCATCAGAAGGCTAAACAAGAATGATGATGTGATAACAAAAGCTCGTGACTGACTCCTCAGAGTCCAACACAGCTGATGGTGATTGGTCATTAATTAAAAACAATTCACATAGAACCAATCAAAGATGCACCTGTTGCAACCTCCAGACCACATTCCAAGCAAACAGATAATTATTGTTTTCATTCCTTTTCTGAGGCTTCTCAGCTTCTCTGGAGAAAATCCTGGCGAAGGGATTTTTCAGAACACATCCTGGTGACAGGGGTCTTTTCCAGCCTGAATGATCCCGTGGTTCTGTGCCAAGGTTTCTGGAGGAGACAGCACCTTTTAACAGTTCCCTCAGGAAAAACAAACCCTTAGAAATTCCCTAGGAAGGAATGGTATGAAATATCTGAAATAGCTTTTGGTCTTGCTGGAAAGGACAGGTAATAAAGGGGGTGGTGACAGTGGCTGTAGTCCAGAAAGATCTGGAATTTTTTAGAATTGGACCAAAATGAGGAAAAGTGGAATAAAATCTCATTTTTGCTTTGCAGCCCTTTGACTGGTTAGCAATATTTGACATGTCCCAGTCACTCCTGTTTGTAGGAAATTGTTCAGAGAACTCACAATTCCCCCAGCTCTGGTTCTTCTTGCTCAGAGGAAGTTGTGAACATCACAGACACACAGAGTCAAAATGCAGAGATCAGGCCCAAACTTCCTGAATTATTAAGAAATTAATCCATTCTGTATTTGTGACTTGATTTCTTTGTTCAATAAACAAGGACTTGAACTTGAATAATTTAAGGTGCGAGCAGGAATTAAAAGGGAATAAAAGGAATTTATTATTATTAAAAAGGAATAAATCCTTTGTAAGTCAGCACTGCAGGCAGAGACCTTGGAGACTGGAAACAAGGACTTGTAACTTCCATGAAAGTTGTGTTTTCAGTTGCTGTGGATGTTACTTCCAGTGGAAAAGAAGTCAGCATTTAGCCTAAGCCCCTGTAAAAATCTCAAAATTGAATTTGTTAGAAAAAGCAACTTACTTCAGTTTGCAGAAACAGCAAACAACTGTGAAATCCATGACTATTAATATTTCAAAGTGTTTTGGTGACATAATAGATCATGAAAGTGAGGCTCCCATGGTTTGTGATATTACCAGAAATCCAAGATGTATTTATAGCTGCCTTCACACTTCACTGTTTTGTGTTGTATGGGTTACATTGAGCCAAATATAAATGAAAATGATAGAAAGCTTCAAAAACATGAAAAAAGAAATATTTCTTTTTTGTCTCTATCTCTTTCCAGCCTCAATGTTTTGTTCTTTCCTCTCCTCACTCAATTCTCTGTCTGTTCTCTTCTACCTTGGCTCCTGTTTTTTATATTTAGATTTATTGGTATTTTTAGATCTTTTGAAACCTTGGCCAATATTTCCTATTTTGGGGTATGAAAATGCCTTTAGTGCTACAGGGAATTTGTTTGCTGGGAGAACCAGTCAATAATTCAGAACTTCTGTGGTGTTTACTTGGACTTGCAAAGTCATTGCTTCAGTGTCACAGGGCTTAAAAACAGGTTTGAGCCCCAAGTAAGAGTTACTAAGGGGAAAACACAAATTGGCCTAAGGAAAAATCATAGAACTGACTGAGAATTTCATCCCACTTTGGACCTGTGTTCCTAAATAAATTGGACATGCTATAAAATCTCAGTCTTATATGAACCACTGTATGTCACGCTTAGGAATTATTTCTTTTTAAAAAATATTGCTACTCTCAAGAAAGGATTTTACATTATTTTTCCTGTGTTGTAACCAATGCTGTCTCTTTTTCTCCAATAAACACAATTCTTTAGTCCTGTCCCAAGTATTAGCTGGAAGAGGTCTGATGGAAAATCCTTGGCAAAGAAAATCCAACACAGCAGGACTGGGGGAGTTCTTGAAATCCCCAACGTTGAGCAGGAAGATGAAGGCTCCTACGAGTGCACCGCAGCAAACACCCGAGGAATAAACATTGCAAGAGGTCAATTATTTGTCTATGGTAAGCAGATTAAGTGAATTTTGCTTTTTAATGAAGAGCAGGATGGAGCTCTGCTGTATTGTGCAGATGAGGTCTCCCAGCCCCTTCCTGGAGGTAGAAAGTGCATGTCAGGTTAAGCTGATTAAAAACTGATTGGGGGCTCTCAGTGACCTTCACTGAGTTACAGGCTCAGCAAATGGAGATATTTTACATCAAAGCTCAGATTGGAAGTGGGGGAAATTGGGAATGTTGATAAAAGGCAGAGAGGAATCCCTGTGCATGTGTGTGAGACAGGAAAGGCAAGCAGGGATCTGTTGTGAGGGGTCCCAGGACGAGGTGAGAGATGAGAATCTGACTCCATGCTCTCAGAAGGCTGATTTATTATGTTATGATATTATATTATATGAAAAGAAATTGTATAATCAAACTGTACTAAAGAAAGAGAAAGGAGACATCAGAAAGCTAAACAAGAATGAATAATAAAAACCCATGACTGACCAGAGTCTGACACAGCTGGGCTGGGATTGGTCATTAAATTAAAACAATTCACATGCTGGCTAAACAATTCTCCAAATCACATTCCAAAGCAGCAAAACAGGGAGAAGCTGAGGTTTCCCAGGAGTAGAAATCCTGGCAAAGGGATTTGCAATAAAATACCACGGTGACAGGGATCAGTGTCCAGCAGAGATGCAGGGCAGGGAAGGATTTGCTCTGTGCCAGTGAAGGTGATTTCACCTCCTGCTGTCCCATAAACACACCAGGACAAAGCAGAGGGAACTCACCCCATTCCTCCCTCTCCTTCCAGCTTGGCTAAGAGTGGAGAATAACCTGGGAATGTTCTCCCTTTGCCTGTCCCTTCCCATGGGCAGGGGCTCCCTGCAGTCCCAGCCCCACGGGATGCTCCCTCATGGCCAGGGTGAAGGATGCCACTGCAGTGGAACTCTTCACACCCAGGGAAAGCAACACATTTGGACAGGAATGAGAGGAGAGATCTTTTCTTTACCTCATAAATCTTTCAAAGGAGAAAGCAAAAAAAAGAAAATGAAACATAACAGCAAGGAGAAAAAAAAAAATCATAGCAAGCGAGACTGAGCCTCCAGTTAACATCTGTTGAGAAGACTCTGGCAAGTATTTTCCTTTTTTTTTAAAGTAAATCTCTTCTAATGAAGAGATGCAGGCTTTGCTGATAAGCTCCCAGGCTCCTGCAGCCATGGCTAATATCAAGATATATGCCAGGAATAGAACAGTCTGCTGCTGGTTTAAATATTTCATTATTTCCTTGCTTTCAGGGGGTACATTTTGCTCTTGTTGCTCACTAATTTTTTTCACCACGTCAATCAAGCAGTTCCATTAAAATTAAGTTCAGTAGATTACCTGGCCGTGATTGATAACAGCACAGGCAATTATAAAATTATGATCAGTTAATTCAATCTAAAACAATGTGCTTATTAACTGTGCTTTGTACATTAATTAATAGCTGTTCATAGAGCAGTGTATAAACAGCACTCATGAAGCCTTGGCATGAGGTTTTTTTGTCATATTAGGAGTGTGCTGGTGAATTATCTCTGTAATTGATTTCCTCTTGCTCCTTTTCTGTTCTCTGGGGGTTTTCCTCTGGAGGAAGGAAGGCTGTCTCCAAAAAAATAGGAATTCTTTCCTGGACACTGCTTTTTATGTGATCCCTCCTGAGAGCAGTACAAATTAAATGGAATTAGAATGCTTTTAAGCCGGGGGAACTCTGTCCTTAAAGGATCTCTGGGCACCTAAAGGGGCTCCAGGAGAGCTGGAGAGAGACTTTGGATAAGGGATGGAGGGACAGGACACAGGGAATGGCTCCCACTGCCAGAGGGCAGGGAAGGATGGGATCTTGGGGGAAATCATTCCCTGTGAAGGTGGCAAGGGCCTGGAATGGAATTCCCAGAGCAGCTGGGGCTGCCCCTGCATCCCTGGAAATGTTCAAGGCCAGGTTGGACCCTGGGGCTTGGAGCAGCCTGGGACAGTGGAAGGTGTCCCTGCCCATGGTGCTATTTGGTGTTATTTGGTGTTATTTGGTGCTATTTGGTGTAATTTGGTGTTATTTATTCTCCCCAGGTCTCACCTCTAACCTGCCTACAGCTCTAAATGTCAGAGCCCTCCCAAGGGAGCTCCTGCTCAGCTCAGCCCTTGAGGCTCAGTTGTTTACAGAGCTCCCGGGTGGTTCCTTCAAATTCTGCTTTTACACCTCACTGAATTTCTTTAGAGGAAAACTTTGCAGAAATGACAGGTCTTGGTGCCTTTCTGATTTCAGGCATCTAAAAATCACCATTTCTGCACATTTTGGCCACAAAAATTGATAAAATCTCAACCAAACTCCTTGCCCATGAACCACTTGATTTCTAACATTTTCCCAAGCTTGCCCCAAAGTTTAATGCCTGGGAGTTGTTGCGCAGAATTCACTTGCAGTGTAATAAAAATGTGTTGAACAGATATTAATTAACCCTGCTCAGTTCATTAATTAATGGCAGCATACCTTTTCTCCTGCTTAAAATGCTTTGCCTATTCTTTTCAGCACCCCCTGAATGGGATAAAAAAATCCAAAATGCCTTTCTGTCTCTCTATGACAGTTTATTTTGGGAATGTAAGGCAAGAGGAAAACCAAGCCCTTCCTACAGCTGGTTAAAAAATGGCCAGCCCCTGATGCCAGAGGTAAGAGTCCTGTCTCCTTTGATTTTTCCTCATCTTTTCGTTTGTTTGTTTGTTTCATTATTTAGTCATTATATTAATTTCACAATATATTAATTAAGTTTCCAAAAATAGGTAAATATTAATATATCAAAGTAAATATAATAGCACAAACTCTTTGCCACACCGAGCCTCAATTCTTGGACTTCATCCTCATTGGAAATGTATGAAATTGCAGTTTAGAGAGAGAGAAACACCAATTTCTTCATACAAATAATCAAATTGCTTCAAGATATGGCTGTAGGTATGGAAAGGCTTAAAGATATGAATTGGTGAAAGAATCACTAAATACATTTGTAGACATAATCTGCAGCTTGGGGAACTGGTAAGATGCCAAAGGACTGGAAGAGGATTCCAGAACTGGAATTGCAAAATGCTCAGCATTGAATTGCACTTTTCTTCTGTTTCTGTTCCAAATCAGTAGCTGGGTGGACATTTGGTCTCGTGCAGAGTGCTGCTTTCCTGCTGAGTTAATCCTTTACCTTAATTAATCAGTCAGCTCTGAAAATCAGCTAATTTTGAGGGTAATATTTTCTGTGCTTTGGAGCAGGATAATCCAAAGAAAGCCCACATCAAGGTAAAAGGGAGAGCTGGATAAGTGCAAAATGTCACTTAAAAGGACCAAGTGGGAAGGGAGGTAGGAGAGCAGGGGGAGAGGGGAAGTTTGGAGCTCAAACACTTGAGAACCACCTTCAGATCCCTCACCAGCCAGGCCTTTGAGAGCCCAGCTTCCAGGCACAATCCTGCATTCCTTGGGATGCCAGGCTCCATCCATGCTCCAGCCTCCAGCTGGTGGCACCCTCATGGAGGATTTCTGTCATAAGAAGCTCTTTGCATTCTGCTGAGGCCAAGTTTCCCTTTTTTTTTGTTTTTTCTTTAAATTTTATGGAGCACCCATCCAGCATGTCTGGAGCACACAATGGCTCATCTGTGAGGCATCTTCACTCGGATGGAAAAAATATTTCTGTGATTAATTCCTGCCTAGCAAGAGCACATACAGGAGAATTTCCAGAACATATGGGCTGAATTAGCACCTGCTGGGCTGCAGAACCAGCATTTATTTGATTTAGTTGTACTTATTTTAAGTCGTTGGAGTGGGGTCCAATCTTCCATATAATTTTCTGCTGGATCAGTCCTAAACAGACCCAACCTGCATCTGGGGAAAATAGCCAGAATTTACCTGGACTGCAATTTTTCTGAACCTGCTCATTGTAGTCATTGTCACCTTTTTCTGAGTGAGATTATCTTGTTTCTCTCTCTTTGAAGGCAGCAATATTTAGAGTCTGTCACTCTTCAATTGCAGCGTTTCAATAAGGAGGAATGAAACGCTCACAGACACATTTTCAACCAGCATTTTCACAGTACTTACAGTGTGCTGTAAATGCAATTCTTCAGGCAACAAAGTGCTGGATGTTATTGCTCAATGGACAGAATGGACACTTTGGAGGGGAAAGTACAAGGGAGATGTAATAAAATATTCAGTTTGTCGCAGCACCCTGTGTGTTGGAATTCTCCCAGGAAGAATAACATCCAGATGCTTTTCACCCCGGGGCTGATTCTGATTGTCTCCTCTTTGTCAAAGCTCTCTGCCTGACCACCTGGCTGCTCACCCCAGCATCCTCCCTACTCCTGTACATGGTGTGCTTTATTCTTCCCTTTGTCTGCACGGCTCAAAAGGGCCGGCAGAGAACGGCGGGGAATTTGGGATGAGGATGGAACACGAGCCTTGCTTCAGAGAGGGGGTTTTGTATTCAAAGGGTGTTTGTAAAAATAGAATGCATTGAGAGGATAGCAAACAGCCTGGAGGTAAAACTAAGTATGCAAAAGATATCTGTAGTGAGAGCCTCGGAAAAAATTATCAGAGGCTAAGTAATGTAATGTTGTTAATTAGTTTGCCACACACCAGCCTTGCAGCCCCAGGCTGTGCTCTCATCACATTTCCAAGCTAAACAAGCTTGGGCTGGGTCAGTTCAGGGTTGGGAGAGCTCCAAGGAAAAGCTGGGGTGTTGGAAAACATCTCCTGGATGTGTGTGCTGACCCTAGAACCCCCTGGGCTGGGAAGGGGGGGTCCTGCCCCTGCTCAGGTGATTTCCCACCTGCAGAGCTGCCCCAGCCCTGGCCCAGCCCAGGGAGGAGCTGGAGCTGCTCAGAGAGCCCAGAGGAGGCTCCAGGATGATGCCAGGGATGGAGCAGCTCTGCTGGGAGGAAAGGCTGGCACAGCTGGGATTGTTCACCTGCACAGGAGAAGCTTTGGGTGAGCTCAGGGTGGCCCTGCAGGGCCTGAAGGAGCCCCAGGAAACCTGGAGAGAGACAATTGACAGGGGATGGAGTGATGGGACACAGGGAATGGCTTCAAACTGCCAGAGAGTGGGTTTAGATGGGATATTGGGAATAAATCCTTCCCTGTGAGGGTTCTGAGGCTCTGGCACAGGGTGCCCAGAGCAGCTGTGGCTGCCCCTGGATCCCTGGCAGTGCCCAAGGCCAGGCTGGACACTGGGGCTGGGAGCACCTGGGACAGTGGGAGGTGTCCCTGCCATGGCAGGGGGTGGAAGCTTTAAGATCCCTCCAACTCAAGCCATTCTAGGATTCTGTGACAGATGTTCAACACTTCACAAATGCCTTTGAGGTGCTTGTGGCTGTTCATCAAACACTGGAGTGCATCCCCAAACTGTGCACTCCAAACTCCTCCATTCCTGCTCCAGAGGCAGGAGAGCCAGGCTAAATGAGAAGCAGCATCCTCCCCGTGATATCTGCTGTTCCAGCTTGCACTTGGTGATGGGATTTATATTCCCCCTGGGTATCTTCCAAACTCATCTGTTTGGGGGAATGTTTGGGTTTTTTTTCTGCTCCTCAGTGCTCCACTTTGCAGTACAGCTATTATTGTCTCCAGAGGGTAGTAATTGTAAAATCACAAGATATTTAGCTTTAAGTTATGATTGCAGCATGAAACAGGCTTTTTTTCTGTTTTCTAAAGCAGAGCAAGTAAAACTTCTTTTAATACACCAAATTCCAAGCTCTGGTCCAAATATACCCACTGTGCAGCTGCCTCTATTTCAGCAGAATTGCTGAAGAAAGTTGGTATGTGTAGAAATGCAGGCCTGGAGGAGGCACATGCTCTCCCTGTGCTCTGAGCAGCTGCCTGGGGCTTTCCAAGTGGAATTTAAGTGTTGGCTTTCAGTGGAACTTTTCCAGTGGCTCATTTTTCTTTGGCTCAGGGTGTGATGATGTTCAAAATGTTCCTGTTACTGGAGCGCCTCTCCTGTGGAGCTTTTTTGATCACCTGGGGTTATCACCATCAGATTTATTTGATGGGATGGTGAAATGATGTCCCACCAGCCAGGGATGAGGTGCTGCCTCTCAGGATCCTGAAGATGCTCCAGGCCCCCAGTGTGGAGCATCCCTACAGGGAACTCCTTCTGTGGCCCCTTCATGGAGAAGGATAATGACAGATTCCCAGCTCAGCAGTGCAGGGAAACTCATGGAAAACCTGGACAAACCCACCCAAAGCCACTGCTGCCACATGTGCCTGGATTTCCTGAACAGCTGGAAGAGCTCAGTGGGCTGGAAACACAACCACCACCACACAGAGAGGTGCACATCCCATTTCTGGTGAACCCATCCTCACTGCTCCCAAGAAAACAACATTTCTGCTTCTGAGTCCTGATCAGGTGCATCAGTGAGATACTAAAAAAACCTTTTATTTGTTCACTCATCACCTTTGTCAATGTTTTTCCTTGTTTTTCTCTTATCAGGAAAGAATTCAAATAGAAAATGGGACTCTCCTCATCCCCATGCTGAATCTGTCAGACTCAGGCCTCTATCAGTGCGTGGCAGAAAATAAATATGACACCATTTATGCCAATGCTGAGCTGAGGGTGATCGGTGAGTAAATGTCACTAAAATCTGCAGGTACCAGTAAAAAGGACACTTGTTGAAAAAAATTTGAATTTAAGAAAAGAGGAGATGAAACCTGGCAGTTCAAACCTGATATTTCTTTGCCTTTCGCCCATATGGAAATGAGTTTTTTTTAAGTTTAATTTCATGGCTTGTTTGGGAAAGAATCTAATCCATGTATGATCTTTTTTTATTATCACATATACACCAGTTTAATGAATGCTGTTTCTCGCTTAGTTTGAGTTATTAATGGTTATTCTGCAGGTTTTTAAAGTTATTACAGAAAGCAGGGGAAATAGTTTTAGCTATAAACAAAGAGCATATGGCAAATATGGACATAAACAAGAAACATGGAACAAGGAATCTCATTAATGACAACCAGAGACGAACATGAATGGAACTTGCTCATATATTGTAAAAGTATTCTGTTCTAGACTTCAAAATATAAAGTTTGCTCAACAGCCAAATATCAGTGAAGCTGGTAAAACACAGACTTCAGGAGTACCCAATGTCTTGTGTTTTCTTCTTGGTCGAGTGGATTTTCTCATATGCTGCTGGAAAAATAAACATCTTTTCAGAAAACAGAGTAGGTCTCTGAAAAGAAAGCCAGAGTAGAACTGTGCTTGTGACAGAATACTCTCTGCAGATGGATATTTGTGGCTGGATCAGGAGTGTGAGGTTTATCCTGCTTGGGAATCTTGTTTTCCATCATGGATAGACCAGTTCTCCCAGCCTCCAGATTTCCTCAGGAAATTTTGTCAGACCACACAGTTCTAGGTGGACAGGTTTAGAAACAGAATTCTTTGGTACTTAGATACATTTTTAACGTTAGATTTAGGTTTACTTTTGAAGAAATCTAAAAACCAAAACAATCATTGAATCTTCTGGCTGAACTCAAAGAGCAGAATTTGGCAAGTCCCTTTAGTAACACCTCTTCTTCCTTCTCTCTCTTTAGCTGCAGCCCCGGATTTTTCCAGAAACCCCGTGAAGAAGCTGTCTGTTGTGCAGGTTGGAGGGCAAGTTACAATCAGTTGTAAGCCCAGTGCTTCTCCCAGAGCTGCTGTTTCCTGGAGGAAGGGCGCGGAGGTTCTGCGCCACAGCAAAAGGTACGGGCAGCAACCAGCGACTGGGCCTCTGAATTTCCTCTGTTTTGACATCATTTAAAGCTGATTGAAGCCCAGCTGGCTCAGGATTGCTCTTGGCAGCTCGTTGATGGAAATGCCAGAGGCCTCTTTGTGTTCAGGGTGTCCCTGGAGCTCTGTGGGTGCAAAGCAGGGTGAGCTCGGGGCCGGAGTGAATCCCTGTGGGCGATGATTTATGTGTACATCTGTGCTCAGCATCCCTTAATCCATGGCCAGCCACGGGCTGGAGGGAATCAGCTTCACCAGGAGACAGCCAGGGAGGTGGGATGTGCCCCAGGCTGGGGCAGAATCGCTGTGCAGCTCCACAGGCTGTACAATAAGCCCTGGCCTCCCCGGCCTGTTGCTCCTTTCAGGCAGGACTGAGCTGCTGGCCCAGCAGTGACACGGCCTCACCAACTGCCTTGGGTCAGGTGGGCTTTGGTCAGGGCTGATTCCTTATTGCTGAGCTGCCAGCAAGCATCTCCATTATTGTATTTCAGTGCCCTCAGGCACAGGGTGGAAACCCAGGGCACAGGGAATATTTCTGTGTCTGCTCTGGGGTGCCCTGACCCCCAGGGCAGCACTGACTCTGACCCTCACTCATGGAGAAAGTTTCCCAGACTTCAAGATAGACTGGAACCCACAAAAGTGTGAAATAGATTATAGAGAGTAGTGTAGGTGTATCAGTTGGTGAGAAATTGAGGGTTTGGGATTTTTAGTATATTGTGGATGGAAGCAAGATGGAGGGCACGGGTGTCGTCCTGGGTTTCTTCTTCATGCTGCTTCTTCCTTCTTCTCCATGGGTTGGGTGGCATTCTGTAATTGGGCAGAAAAGTCTGCATTGGGGGCTCTTTGGGTTAAAAGGGAAAATATTCCAGGTGTCAGTTCTTAATTGGATAGTTTAGTCTTTTAAGACCTTGTGACAAGGGATTGTTGGCCATTTTGTGCCTTCTGATGAAAAGCTGCCGAACTCATGGATGTTCTTCTGTTTTACTGATAAAACTGGTAAAACTTCTGTTTTACTGATAAGAAATAACAAACACCTGAGTCCAAACATGAACCACCATCTCAAGTCCCTTCAATCCAGATCCAGAGAAACTGATAGCCCAGGGTGGGGTTGTTGGGGTGGACAATCCCCATGGAGTTGGACTCTGTGATCCTTCTGAGCCCTTCCAGCTCAGGCTTCTCCATAATTCTATAATTCCACACTAATGACAATTAAATGGGGGAATATTAAAATCCAAGGATCTTACTGACAGAACTGAGGGATATTGTATGCAACATACAGGCCTGAGGCTATTTCCATACACAAATGGAGACAGATGGATGAAATGGGCAGCAGTGTCTTCAGAAGTGCTGAGAATGTCTGAGAGTCCTTCTCAGCATCTCTTTCAGCTCACAAATATAACAGCAACCCTCTCTTGTCACCTTCTGTTGTCAGCCTTTGAAATCTATAATCAGTAATTCATGAAGCTCTGGCAGCTGAGCACCAGATTTTCACACAGGACCACTTGCTCAGTGAGGTTACTTTGGGTCACATCAGACTTGAAATGATGATAATTCTCTAAAACATTATCCCAAACTGTGGCACAGAGAATTGTTTCCCTATGCCACGCTGCAGGGATGTACAATAGAGATAAATCACAGGAGTGTTTATGAAAGAAGGTGCAAATCTGAGAATTTTACAGGTGCTGGCAGTGGAACAGAGAAATTTGGGTGAGCAATCCATCCCATGGCCGCAGAGAACTTTCCAATGGCTTTTCTCTCCTTTAGTATTGGCCATTTCATTTTCATTTTAACCTCTCACGATGAAAAACACTTTTCTAACCAGTGTTTAAACAAATCTTTATTTGTCTTCTGATTGTATTTTGATTGTATTGCCCATTCCAGAGGCTGAACTAAGTCTGGATCTTGAGGTTCCACTGCTCTGATATTCCCCACCTGATTTACTGATAAAAGAAATATTTACACACTCCTTACAGTATTTACTTGTGCTCCTGTATTAATTTACTAACAAGAATTCTGAGCACACTGTAATTTCTGAGTTTCCCAGAAGGCTCCTGCTGCTGGGCAGGAGCAAATAACAGGAGCAGGATTTACAAAGGAGACAGAGTTTAAACTCTCTGCATGCACATTATTGCCAGTGTGGCCACTGGTGCAAAGTGGGATTTATGAGGCTGTTTGATTATTAAATGACAAACTGGCTAATGCCATGGTTTAAAAAGGATGGGAAATAAATCAGGAGTACAGTGTTAGTCCAGAGATCTCCCTGACAGAAAACAAAATGAAATAAGGGTTTGTATGGCTGTAAAGTACATGGCTAATTAAAGTGCTGGAATTACACATAAAAAGAGGGAACATGGTCTGCCTTTCTCCAGATATGATTAAACCCTGACAAAGCCTATTTCTGCTCCCATTTTATTGTGCTGCAATTATAACCTTTATGGGCTCTTTTATTGGCCTTTTTTAAAATATTTGGTAGGGTTATAGTTGCTAAAAAAAGGAAAACCCAATCCCTTCCAGTTCTGGCAGCCAAACTGTGATGGGCTCATTCTTAAATAAGTCAGATCATGCAGCTACTTTTAAATTATTTAGACAAATTTAATCTTTTGTAAAAGAAATAGTGAAACCAGACCTATTCCACCCAAAGGGGGAAGAATATTCCTTCATTTTCATCTTTTTCCTTTCACTCCTGATAATAGTTTATTCCTGATAGTCCTGAATATGTGGTAACCATTCTCCCTGATCAGCTGAACTCTTGATATCACAGGAGATTACATTAAATTCAGTTTGTAAGTGTGTAAAGAGAAGTGTGCTAAATAGGAGCAGTAATTATTAGATTTTCCATATTAATAGATCCACAATGAAATATTTTTAATTAGGTTTCTTCTGAGTTCTTGAGCTCATTTTCAAGTTTCCAAAGCTGCAGTATTTGGGCCCCTGCTCTCTAAAAAATATCTTAGAATTTTTTGAAGGATAATTTTCTGCATTTCTTGCTGGGGTTCAGCAGTGAAGGCCCTCAGCCCTCAGTCCCCTCTTCAGGGCAGAGTTTTCTCCAGCCCCACTTGTCTTTCCCATCCTTTTTGTGGCTCCATTGCTCAGCTCTTCAGCAGCTTGTCTGCTCTCATTTCTGTAAAACACTTCATTGCACTTGAAGCACACATGTAAGTCCTGCAGAAAATGCCAAAATAATATTTTTTTTTTATGTTAGATGGTGAAATAAAGCCTGAACATACCAGTACCAGATCTGCTTATTGTTCCCAGTCCTCTCCATTGAGTTTCCCTTCCAAATTTTCAGTAATAACTCCATTCCACTGTTATTGGCAGGGGTCAGGCCCTGAGTAATGGGATCTATCCATGGTGCATGGTGTTGGCACCTGGGAGAGGGAATTCCAGATTATCAGCTGCAGGAATCCAAGGGAAATCCCACACCTGGCTCCTCCTGGCTGGTTTTCCCTGCTCCCTCCTCATGTGATATCCACCAGTTCAGCTTCAGGTGCTCTCTTGGGCAATTATCCTCCTTCTTTGGGTCAAAATCTGCAGAAATGGGGTTTGGGGAGCAATGCCACTTCTGTAAGGGACAGCTGCTTGGCCTTTTGGAATAAAGAACTTTTCCTGGCGTGTGCTGGGGGTTTGAGCTCAGTGTAGCAAGGAAACACAACAAAAGCCAAGCTTTGTGCTCCAAACTCCCTTCCCGTGGAGTCTGACACAGATCTCAGCTATTTTCATGTGTGTCACATCCTCAGTGCATGCAACAGGAGTTTTCTTCAGCTCTCTCCTCGCTTCTATCCCCTCGTATCCAACTGAGGAAACAGAAGAAAGGAACAATTCATATATTAAATAAAACAAATTTCCAAGTCTAGACACCGATCTCATCACAAACGTCTGCCTTCGTGCCTTCAGTGAATTCAGATCTGGGACTCTCATGGCAAACTTATTTTACAAAAATTCCTTTTGATGGAAGCATTTTGATGGAGGGAAATTGGGCCTGGTTTTGGTTTGCCAGAGAGAGGTGCTATTCCCCCAGCCTGGGCTGAGCATCCCCAAGCCCTGCAGTGAATGCATGGAAACATATGGGACTCACTTCACTCGGAATTTCAATGAGGAGAGCTGAGGGAAAACTGAGAAATGAGGTAGGCTGGAAGAATGCATTAGTCATATACAGCACTTTCCATGCATTAATAATCAGTAATAAGCAAATATTCATAATTTAAATTGTTTTTGGGGGGCCGGGCAAGAAGTGCATTTAGAGATCATAAAATATGCTCAATACTTGTTGGCTCCAAGTCTTGCTTGTAGGACACAGCTCAGTCCCAGCTCTGTGAGGGATGGGAATGGATCCTCTGCCATAAATAGGTGGTGAATTCTGTGTCCTGTGGCACTCTTGGTTTTGGTGTTTTACACTCAGGTTATGGCCATTAATCTGAGGAAACATGGGAAAACAATGAGGTGGGAAGCTGCATTTAATAAATTCCATGGAAAGTGAGTGGAGCAGATGTTGTGATGGGTGGGGGGATTATCTGGGAATTGCTGAGTTCCTGGAGTATGTGGGAATTGCTGAGTTCCTGGAGTACCTGGAAATTGCTGAATTCCTGGAGTACCTGGGAATTGCTGAGTTCCTGGAGTACCTGGAAATTGCTGAATTCCTGGAGTACCTGGGAATTGCTGAGTTCTTGCTGTATCATGGAATTGCTGAGTTCTTGGTGTGTCTGGGAATTGCTGAATTTCTGGCGTACCTGGGAATTGCTGAGTTCTTGGTGTATCTGGGAATTGCTGAGTTCTTGGTGTATCTGGGAATTTCTGAGTTCCTGGAGAGTATCTGGGAATTGCTGAGTTCCTGGAGAGTATCTGGGAATTGCTGAGCTCCTGGAGCTGCCCCTTGGAGCCCAGGCCCAGGGGTTCTCCTGCTGCCAGGGAAACAGCCAGGACCCAGCAGCTTTCCTTAGGATCTGTTCTCCCACCACCCTCTGGGCCACCCCTTGCTT